TGCCTGGGATAGCCGTAACCCCCAAGTCTTCACCTGGCGAAGTAAGAGCTGCCCCCCCGCCCCCGGGGGAGATAGCCTGAGGGTGCCCTCAGTGCTCCAACCTCCTGGCTGGCTGGGGCCATGGTGACCTCCAGGATTGGAACAGGAGCCTCTTTTGGCCGGTCATCTTGGCTTTGCTCAAATTATCTAAAGAAACAGCTGTTAACAGAGGGCCGAGGAGCCCTCTGACTGAGAACCCTGGGCTTGCTGGCTCAGAGGCAGCTTCCTTCTCCCAGAGCACCCTCTGGTGCGCCCCTGGGGAAAGCCAGCCAGTGTGTCCATCTCCAGGGCACGGGAGTCAGTCAGCCAGCGTGGCTCCCCACCGGCCAGGGCTAGACCCGCTGCTTGGTGAGGGTAGGGCCGTGCGTTATCAGGATACAGGTGTGACCCTTAAGGTCTCCACCCGAGAAATCCTCGGAAATGAGTCACCTGTGGCTTTATGCGGCGCACCTGCCCTGCGCAGGCCGGCCGTGGCGCACCCTCGGGGCCCTGCCGGCTGGCCGCAGGAGCACCGCCCCCCCCACACACACACCTGGGCCAGGCCCCTGGGCCTCCTGCCCCGCGGCCGGCTGGTGCTTCCCTGGCTTACCGCCCCTGTTCTTCTCTCTTCTCTCCTGGCTACAGTTTGCTTCCTCAGGGCTTTTTACTATCTGGCTCCTTTGGTTTCTGATCTAGTGGCCTTTCTCAGTTCCCGTATCAACAGCTTTAGTTGTACACCCCTCCTGCCTTTGAGGTGAGACCGCGCCCTCATCCCACCCCCCCTCCCTGCTGCCATCGCAGTCCGCCCGCCCCGTGGCCGCCGTGTTCTGTGTGCCGGCCCCGGCCTCATCCAGCGCTCCGTGCCCTGCACCCTGCCTGACCGCGCCTCTCCTCCATCACAGTCATGTCAGTGAGCTTGGCAGCGCGTGGCCCAGGGCTAACCACTGACCCCCGGGCTCCTGGGCGGCCACCTCGTGAGCGGGCTGGTAACGCAGGCGTGGAGTGAGGAGTGGTGTGTGCGTGTCTGACGAGTCCGTGGGGTGCTTCCCAGCAGGAGCAGTGTGCGGTGCGTCCAACTGTGGCATCTTTTTTTTTTCTCTTGAGAGGGATTCCTTCCAGAGGACCCTTGGCTATGTCTAATGTCACATCAACCCCACCGATTTACTGCGCACGTGCCTGCGTGCAGGGCCCTGTGCTGGGGCCGCGGGAGCGGGGACCTACTGGGTCTTTTGTGGTGAGACGCCAGGAGGAATCGAGTAAGAAAAAAGCGAGGCAGTGGAGGAAGGCAGGTGGGCGGGCCAAGGGCGAGGGAGGGAGCCCTGGCGTGACGTGACGTGGGCAGCAGAGCCCGTTATCGCATCAGAATCTACAAAGACCTTCGGGTGACGCCCACTGGAGACAGCGAGGGGGGCAGTGGAGTAGGTGACAGACAGGCTGGTCTGGGAGGGCCCGGCCAGCCCCACTTCCTGCCCTCATCCGGAGGCTGTGCGGGGCTGCAGAGCTCTCTGCTGGCCGCAGAGGCCGTCGCCCCAAACACAGGCCTCACGTCCTGTGCTTGGACCCCAGCCGCCGACCACTCGGCTTAGCCCAAGGCTCAGCGTCTTCACCAAGACATGCAGGGCCCTTGTGTGCAGGCAGAGGGCCAGGGGGACGCTGGCTGTGTTCTTCACGCTGATGTCACCGAGGCTGGCTGCTGCATCGCAAAACCACGTTTGCCGTCGTGGCAGCGGCCTCTGTCGTCTTCCCAGGGGGCTGGCTCACAGCAGACGGCAGTGGGACTGCTCTGTGCGCCCTCCGGAGTGGGAGCTGCTGTTGTATATCGGGGGTGGGCTGGCGCACATGTTCTTGGCAACGTGGACAAGGTGGAGGAGGAAGGCTCCCGCCCCAGTGAGGAAAGGGGCCTAAATTGGAGCTGGCAGTGCCTGCTGGTGGGCACCTCGCCGGCGGGGCTGAAGCGTGTGGTTGATGGGCCAGGGCACCACCCAGGAGGCTTTGTCCTTAGGGTGTGGGGCCGGGGGACGACTCCCCGTGGTGCTTGGGTGTGAGCAGCTTAGGCTGGTGCTAATTGGAAGAGGGGGCAGGGCAGACGAAGCCCCCTGGAGCCAGGCTTTGGGCTCGAGAATGGACATCTGAAGTTGTCCTCGGGCCTGCAGGGATGTGGGGGCGCAGAGACACCTACCCACCCCCAGGCCCGGGCAGAGGCGGCTGAGTGCTGGTGTGGGCTGGAGGCCGGGAAGGAGACAGGGCGCATTAGCCACTGCAGGTCTCGGTCTGCGGGGTGTGCACCGGGGCAGCCTCGGGGTTGGTGCAGGGAGCACTAGTGGGAAGTGGCCAGTGGCCGCGGGCACCCTGTGTCTGGCATCGCCGCTTTCTCAGTCGTGTGCAGCCTTGGTTGCAGCCGCTCACTCATCCCATCCCATCCCTCATGCTCATCTCATGTCCTGACACCCGTCACCTCCTGCCGCCCGCACCTGGCCGGGAACCCCGCTCAGCCTCCCCACTCTGCCCCTGCAGGATGACATGCACAGGGTCATTGACCGGCAGCTGATGGACACGCACCTGAAGGAACGGAGCCGGCCTGCTGCTGCCTTCGCCAGGGCCCACGGCCCAGGGCGCGGGGACGAGCCTGGCACCACAGAAGGCAAACGGCTCTTCTCATTCTTCAGGAAAATTTGAGTTGGAAGGAGTCAGGCTACTGGGGATGGGTGAACTGGAGGTGGCTGGAAAGAGGTGCAGACCAGGGCCCAGTAGTGCACTGTCCACCTACCAGGGCTTAGCAGCTGCACTGCCCAGTAGCTGCCCTTGACAAGACGGCAGAGCCCTGTCCTTGCCGCCAGCCAGGACCAGCCTGGGCTCGCGCAGAGTCTGCTGTTGCTGAGCAGCCCCCAGAGCAGCCCCTGGTCTGGCTCTGCTGCTCACAGCCTGCCGTCCACCCCTCGGTGGCTCCAGCTCCCAGCTCTAGGCACCGCTGCCCTCCTGCTTTGGAATATGGGCAACAGAAGAAATGGAAGCCCTTCTCTGCATGCCTCAGGAGGCCACCTCTGCCCCAGCTGGCACGCGCCTCGGGGTTCAGTCCTGAGGGCTCCAGGCCCAGACCTGGGCCTCCTTCCTTTCCCCTGGCCCCTGCCCAGGGACTAAAGGGAGGGGCAGCCCCTCCCCCACATGCATGCTCTTCTGCCAGGAGCGCCTCTGGGGGCCTCGGCCCGCCAGCGAGGGTTCCCTCACACTCAGCAGCAGTGGTCTCTGCCTGGCTTGGGCTGAAGCCACCCCATGCCAGGGAGGAAGGGCCCCACCTCGGCCACCACCGCTCTCCTTCCCAGCCTCATCCAGAACAGTGTGGCCACACCACCACCACGCGGGGCGGCTCACACGCCCTTGCCCCCACTGGGGCCTGGGGTGGGGGGGTCTCAGCCTCCCGTCTCCCTGTCCCCTTCCTGTTACAAGTGCTTGGCTCGGCCAAGCACATCCAGGCCCCAGAGGGGCCCGGTTAGCCACCTCACCTCCACCTCAAGGGCAGGGTTAGCACCACGAGGTGGATGCTTCCAGATGCTGCCCACAAGGCCTGCAGAAGGGCGAGTCCTGCACCTGCCGCCTCTGCTCCTCCTCAGCAGCCACGCCACCTTCTCTGCTGAGGCCCTGGGCTGAGTCAGCCTGCAAGCTGCTTTGGACGGTTTCGTCTCCCGCCCTGCACGGGAAAAGCACAGCAGGGACGAGTGGAAAGAATGCACCTATAGACATGTACATACCACAGTGCTGTAATTTTGTATGTAGCAACCATGTAAATACATGTATGGATTTTATAATATACATATTATGTATAAATCTATAAAGGCATATTTTTAGAAAAACAGCGCACCACTGCTTCTTTTGAAAATAGTCTGAATAAGAATAAAAAGAATTTCTAGAGCCTCCCGCCTGTTACTGGGTACCTGGAGCGCGGGGTCAGATGCAGCTTCTATTTCAGGACGCCGCGGGCTGGCGGCGCTTTCAGCCGGGAAGGGCACCTGGGGGTGGGGGGCAGGACAGCTGCGCGGGAGCAGTGGCCACCGGCGTGGCCTGCAGGCCCAGGCTCCCCGCCAGAGCTGCCTCCCGGCCTCCAGCGAACCCTACCACTTGGCAGACGCTCCCACCAGCAAGCCGGCGCCGCAGCCCTCCCGCCTGCGGGGCTAAGCCCGCTGCTCCCCGGCATCAGCCGTCGCCCTCCCAGCCGGCACGTCACACCGAGGAGCCGCTCAGCCTGGACCAGACTGTAGTGGAGAAAAGTGGACGTGGCCTCTGAAAGTGTCCCTCGGCAGCCGTGCAGGACTCAGACCAGAACAAGAACTGGACAACAGGGGCGGGAAGAAGCCCCCGCCGCACAGAGCACAGCTGGTGAGGAAACAGACCCTGGCAAAAATTTGGCACTTGATCCTTTATTTTTAGTATTTTTTTAAAAAGCATAATTAGAAACTTTCAATACAGAAATAATCCTAGCAAACCATTTAAAAGTTTTGTTGTTCGACAGGAATTTCAGATCAGGTTCACCAGACCGTCCGTCCAGCTCTGGTCCCCTTCCCCCACCCTCCCCTTTCATGCGTGTGACACTCAGCGGGACAGGCACCCTGTGGTCACCAAAATCACCCCATCAACCACCTGGGTCTGGACGTCCAGTGTCCAGAAGCCTGGTGGCCTCTAGGCTGGACGAAGCTTCAGGACCCCCCCACACCCCCCCTTTATTGCTTGAATTGCAAGCACTGCCACACTGGCCTCGCCTGAATGAGCAGAGCCAAGTACACTGCCCACCCCAGACTCCCATCTCTGCCCACCCCCCCGAGGGCCCCAAGATCAGGCAGGACAGTCCTGTGGGCAGAGAACATGCCTCCACCCCTCGGGCTGGCCCTGCAGCCTCCGCCACGGGCTCCCCCACCCGTCCTGCAACTCAAGGGGAAGGCCTGTCATACAGAACCTCAGGCTTGGGCAGTTTAGGGACGTGGAAAGACAGGTCAGAAGAAACCCCCAGCTTTTTTATTGATTAAAAACCCATCGACAGTGTTAACATGGAAAATCTGCAGTGTGATCTGTGACGTGATTGTCCAATCAGAAAAGGGTCTGGGCATCGCTGTCTGGAAATTTTACCTAGGAAAAGACATCTCATAAAACACATCATGATGTTGAAATAAATTATTCCCAGGTTACGTGATCCTTCTAGGGAAAAGGTGAACGAAGTGTCCCGAGGGGGACAGTAATCAAGTGCAGATGTTCCTGGTTTTCCTTCCAGGGGACAAAGCTGCCACCCCGCCCTGGCGGCTGTTCCTCCACCTGCTAAGAAGTCCTCGCGCTACCAGTGTACTCAGCCAGTTCCAGGCTGCCTGCCCTCAGGCTCGGCGGCATTGCCCCCAGGGCCCAGCAGCCTGTCGGGGCCATTCAGGAGACCCATGAGCTCACTGGGCGCCCCAGGCTGACCCCAGCAGGGAAGCCCCTCCCCTTCCCCACCAAGAAATGGCCGGAGCAGAGCTGCTCTGTTGGGAGCCCAGCGCAGCCCACAGCGGCAGGAAGTCACTCTTCCTAAAAACACTGGACAAGTAAGTTGTCGGGAGGCCCAGCTTAGCTGCGGTGCCAGCCAGACCTCAGGAATTGACAGTGTGAGGAGCTTAATCCATTTGGCTTCATTTTCTTTTATCTGGTAAAATAATGCACCTAAGCCCCCCATAAGACTTGTCCCTGCACAGACACACCCTACCTTCCTGCTGGAACCAAAACAGGCTGGTGTATGTTAGACACCACGGCCCCCCTGGGTCTGTAGCTTAGAGGCATCTAGAAGTCAGGACAAGAAACCTATTGGCCAAAGGGCAGGAGTGACTCCCTCTGCAGAACCAGAGGGTTGGGCCTCGCATGGGAAGCCCCAGGCTGCTCTCAAAGCTGCCAGAATGGCTGTGGGGCAGGAGATGAGAGAAGGGACTTGGGCTTGGAACAGAGACCCCATAGGCTGTAGAGTTGTGAGACCCTGCGTGCCAGAGACAGTCGACTGCCTGGAAGAGAGCACACGTAACACGGAGCCCACTGCACCAGCCCAGGTTGGCCAAAGATGTGGCCAGAATGCCAGCCTGCCTCTCAGGACGCCGCAGCGGTGAGATGGGGGGGGGGGCAGAGCGGGTGGGGTGAGGATCTGTCGCAGCAGGCTGGCATTACGGAGGCAAAAGCCAGAGCAGGATGAGGGTGATGTGGCTGGTTAAAGCAATATACATTATGTACAGACTCGGGTTAATCAGTCCGCTCGGCTGGCAGCATCCTCGCCGGGCCCAGGTGCCTTGGCCGGGGGCAGGGGCACCAGAAGGGAAGGGCACGCTGTCCGACACCTTCTTGGCACTCAGGGGAGGGGAGGAGTGCCGATGGCGCCTCCCAGTACAAAAAACGTGGAGAGAATTCTTTAAATAACGGCACAAAACTGAGACTGTCCCCCAGGAGCCCCACGGCCTGAGGCCGGAGTGGCGCAGCGCAGTCTCTGAGGTGGGCGGGCTGGGGTATTAGCAGCAGCGTTTCTTTCGTTTACTGTTCTTCGTGAGCTTCACCACATCGTTCTGTTGCTGCTGCTGCTGTTTCGCTAAGTTGTCTTTCTTTGCTCGAAGGACCAGCTCTGTGATGCAGTTGAACATCTGTGAGGACGAAAGAGGCAGGATGACCCGAGACCTTTCGAGGTGGTCCCGTCAGGGCTGTGCTACCTCTGCTGGCCAGCCCAGCCACCGCCCTCCTCCCTGGCTCTGGCTTTCCATTTCTACCACATGAATTTTTTGGTACCTATGTCTGCCAACCCTTTGTAGAAGGTGGTTATTTTGTCCAGAATTCAAAAAGGAGTATCAGAGCCCCGTAAGTTGTGTCAGGGAAGTCATCCTCTCAGGGATTTTTCAAGTCTTTGTTTTTAGAGAGAAGGACCCTCTTCCTTCAGCTGGACTCTTCTGATGTGTTAGATGAAGGCACCTCTGCTCTGGTGAACAGCTGGAGGAATCCATGGCCTACCCAGGACCCGTTCCAAGACTGCCCCCCACACCCCTGCCAGAAGGTCCTCATGCTGCCAAGATTAGCAGAACTCCGCCTCCAGACTCACATGCCCTCCATACAACCAGGAAAGCAGCGGCAGTGATGCAGCAATGGGCACAGAGAAGCCAAGGCAACATCGACCGGACCCAGCGCCCCGCCACTGTGCACTCTGCCTGGCAGGCCATGAGGATGCGAACTTCCCCGGGTGGGATGCCACGCACCGGGAGCCGACTCTCTCAAGGCCGTGGTGGGGCCAGCATGGAGCAAAGGTCTTGCTTTCTTCCCCACAGAGTCACAACTGCTCTCCAGCAAAAGGGAGGGGCTACAGGCTGGGCAGGAAGAAATGACAGCTGTTGGGACCAGGGACAGAGGCAGGCAGAAGCCATGCCTGGCGGTTGTGGGCAGATCTAAGATGGAACCTCAGTTCCTCCACTTGGGACATGTGAACCGTTCACCTTGGGAGACTGCTCAGCTATGCGCTCAGACTTCTAGGGGCCCAACACAGCTGCTGGCACCCCGCTGGCACCCCACAGGCACCCCACAGATGGTGGCTATAGCGCCACTCCCTGTTGGTGCCTGGAAGCCCTGCATGGGCTGGCAGAGGAGAGGTGGCTGTGGCATTGGCATGGGCAGAGCCCTTCCCACTCCCCCCCAGGCCTCACCTCTTCCACATTGACATTCTCCTTGGCACTGGTCTCAAACAACTGGATCCCCATCTGCCCAGCAAACTTGTAGGCGTCTTCTGTCTCCACCACCTTCCGCTCAGGGTCATCGTTCTTATTCCCCACTTTAAGGCAAAGCAAAGTCAGCAGGGTCTGGCGCACCCCTGCACCCTCCCTCCTGCTGCCCGCCATTGGCTCCCGCCTCACCTAATATTCGGCACACGTCATCACAGTTCTGGTTGATTTCGTGAAGCCACCGCTTGACGTTGACAAAAGACTCCGCACTGGTGACGTCATAAACAACGATGACCCCGTGGGTCCCCCGATAATACCTGTAGGGCCGGGACCAGCATCAGAACCTCTGTCTGAACAAGAACAGCCCCTTCTCTAGGACCTGCCGGCCCACATCAGGTCCACAGCCGGGGAGATGCTGACAGGGCCAGCGCCTTCCCTCATGGCCCAGAGTCCACGCTCTGGCCTTGCTGCAGGGGCCTGAACTGCAGCTCCGTGCAGAGAAGGCTGCCTGGCAGCTCCGCTTTTCACACACGTGTCCAGGGCACCAGAAAGGAAGGTTGCGTACCCCTAAAGTGGCCAACCAGGCTGCTCAGTCGGCCACTACCTTGCAACTTCAAAGAGTGGTTTTATTTTTAAAATTCAGGCCATTTTTGAATTGAACATCATATTGGCATTGTCCTTGTTTTAACAATCAAAATGTTTTTCTCTCCTCAAATCTCAGTGAAATGCCATCCCCAGAAGACAAGCCAGCGGTGAGTCCTCCGCAGCTCTCTTACTCCCTCGGCTGCAGGTGGACACCTCCCTGCCTGCATTCAGGGGATCATGGGAACTGAGGGGCACTCAGGCACAGCTAGGAAGAGGGCACCCCAGATACTCCCACATTCACACACACTCCCAGCCCTGAAGTCAGCCAGAAGGTCTGGGAGGCGGAAAGATGTGAACATTCCTCTCCAGACACCGGGTGCCCTTGTGTTCTGGGGCTGAGGACAGGTGGAGGCCTTTGGGGAGGACAGAGCCTCAGCCATCCCTGAGAGCATCACGGACCCAGAGCCGGGCGACAGCCCCGTCCCGACACTGCTCCCAGGGGCTTCAGAACCAGGAGGGTGAGAATCACTGCCCGCGAGAGGCCAATTCCTAAGTGGACAGGCCGAGCCCCCCAGCCCTGGCCTCCAGCCCACAGGAGAGCAGCTCCTCTGCACAAAGTGTGGGTTGTCGTGAGGAAGGCGCCAGTTAGGCTGCTGTGTCCTCTGTGAGCCCACCAGCTCGCTTCACATTCGAGGCCCAATCCCCTGGTGGACTGTGGGATGCTGGGAAGCATATAGCATTCACCTCACCACACTTCAATTTCCTCAGCTATAAACCAGGGGTACCAGTACTTAACTGCTGGGGCAGTTGTGAGGGGATGATACGGTTACCGCGAGCACATGAGTACTAGGCAGTCCAGAGCAGTTGCTCACTATTAATATTCTTTCAGTGCAACGAGGCTGATGCAGAAGGAAAAAGGGCTTCGAGCAGGAGTCAGGTCTGACTTCCTCCCTGCCCAGCATCCGCCCCTCACCCCGAGGTCTGGCTGCATTTTGCCTCGCGCCATGCAGACCTCTTAACAATCAAGACATCTAAGGCACCAGGCCCTCGGGACCAGCTTGGCCCTGCCCTGCCTTCCAGCAGTTGCTGCTGGAAGGGCAGGTCATCTTCCAGGTTGGCCTGGGGGACCCTCCTGAGCAGGTGCAGTGGGAACCACAGACTACCCCCTGCTCACGAACAAGTGCAAGCAGTGCCCTGCTTCCAGACTCCCCTTGCTGAAAACTGCTGAGGATGCAACCAAAGGCCCACGGCCAGGGCCCCAGCACAGAGCCCTGTGCTCCCTGGGAACGCCCCCTTCTCTGCCCGGAGAGGACACTGCTCGAGATAAGTTGAGGGTGCAGAGCTGTGTGAGCCTCCACTCACTGCAGCTGCTCCACGTCGGGCAAGGCGACAAGCACGTGTGTCCACTATCCCCCTCTGCGACAGGGTCGCCATCCCAGCATGGACCTGCCTGAGGTCACCTGGCCAAGAGTCCCAGGTGCAGTGCCAGGTATCCAAGGGGCTTCTCTTCACCCCTCGCTTCCCTCCTCCCCCAGAAATACACCTCAGGGCCAGCCGAGCCCAGCTGGGGTGAGTGAAGCAAGGCTCATGCCCATCAGGCTAACAGGAAGAGAAACAGCTTAGTTTCTCTGAGTACTCTGAAGCAAGAAAGGCCACCCTACTGCACCTTGACTTCCCAAGACTCCCTCTTTGCCAGTTACCATCACCAGCAGTAGTCAAGGACCCCAAGAGGGAGCTAGCCTCAGCCTCCCCAAATAAGCAGGCAGCATGGCCAATGCCAGCCCGCAGCGCCACCCCTTCTCAAGCACCTGGGAACACACACACTGCCCGAAGGCAGGTGTGTAATCCCAGTCTCCCCAAAGAGCAAAGGAGGCATTTCACCCTCTTCCCACCCCGTCCTACAAGGAACGGACTTCGGGGTGACAGGGGAGGACTGAGGCTCCTCTGCTGAAAGGGCTAGCACCCAGAAATGCCAGCATTTCTAGTAGTCACAGGTCTGAAATCCCTGACTGGTTTTAACTGACACAGGAGGCACGAGAGCACCTGCCATCTGCCCTGTCCCCCCTCAGGGGGGCCCCGTGGGGGGCGGTTAGAGGGCCAGCCACGAGCAGGGCCTAGACTGGTTCAGGGCTTGAGCTTCAGTGTCAGACTGAAGTTCAGCTCCCAACCAACCAGCCAAGCAAGCTAGGTCACTTCAGCCTCTCTGGGCACCTCAGTGAAGCTGATCACAGGCTGCTTTTTGGGGGGTTAAGTGACAGCAGTCCTGGCAGAGAGGAAGGCCCTCTGGAGTCAGTGCCTCCAGGCCTCTGACCCCAACCTGAGGCTCTGGCCACCCAAGCTCAACCCTATTACAAGGAGAATCTGATGCCAACTTGCTTAGGGTCTTGCCGACAACTGCTAAGATCCAGGGGCCCAGTATGGCGTCTGCAGGCAGCTAGTCAGCAAGTAGCTGCAGAAAGCCGCTCTGAGCATCTCCCAGGAGGGGAGACTCCCAGAGACCAGCACCACATGCTCGCTGCAGGTCTGACCCAGTGACGAGCCCCTCCCGCCCAGAGCTGCCCCAGCTCCAACCCCTTCACTAGTGTGCCATCTGCCTGCCAGTCCTGTCTCCAGCCTGCCCACCCAGCATTCCCTGCACCACCACGGGGGGAAACATTTCCCCCCTCAAAAGATCCTGAGGGGCCCCAGGATGTACTTCTGAGGTTGGGGGTCAGCCGTGTTTCCAAGCCAAAAGGGCTTGCTGCACCCCTCCACACGGGAACTGCTCCAGGGTCAGGGTACAGGGATGCCCACTAAAGCAGCAATGACTTCAGGCCAGACACTGGCCCCCACACCATGCTGTGGAGCCCAGGTGCTGCACTCTGGGCCACTCGGTGGAAGCAGGACCCTCACCTGAAAAATGGGGCTAACAGGACCAACCACAGAGAGCCTCAGACATACATGAAACCACCCATGGAAAGCCCAAGCGGTGTCTGGCACACAGGACTCAGCAGTAAAAAGAACCCTAAAGAATCCTCTGGGAAGCTGAAGCACAAATTTAGGCAATTTGCCCAAGGTCACACAGTAGAACAGAAATGTACATTCTAAACTCTGCCTTCAAAGTCCTGAGCTTTCCTGGAATCTGTTCCATCAAGAGCCCCTCTGCCAGAGCTCCGGCTGGTTTCCCACCAGTCTGCAGCGGAGAGGAGCTGGCTGCTGCAAGCCTGTTCTCAGTGCAGCCAGCTCTTCCTTCCGGCGCGCCCTCAGGCCTCCGACTAAGAGACTTCACCTCGAAGAAGTCAGGGGTGACAGGAGCCTCACAACTGACTGGAGTAACTGTCACTGACTCAGTCTGAGCACCCCAGCCTGTGGGTGCGGCCAATACCACTGTTATCCCATTCTTCAGACGACCTGACGGCCAAAGTGCAGGATGACAGGATGACAACTACCCACCAGAGCCAGGGAGCCACACCTCGCCCCTCCTCCTCTCACTTTCAAGAAGGGGAAGGACTCATCACCACTCAGTACGATCTCCTGAAAGCCTCAGGGGCCCGCCCCTGAGGACAGTCTACCATCACTGAGTCACTCAGCTGTGTCCAAATGCAGGGAGGAGAGGTCAGCATGGGAGCTGGACGAGCCCAACTCACGTGGAGGTGATGGTGCGGAAGCGCTCCTGCCCGGCCGTGTCCCAGATCTGCAGCTTCACTTTCTCCCCATTGATCTCCACAGTCCGAATCTTGAAATCCACTCCGATTGTGGTGATGTAGCTGCCTGCACACACATGCACATTGATAAGGTCCACGTGTGCCCAGGGCACGGCCCGGGGCTCCCTTCCCCTCACTATCTGTGCCTGGCCTACAGGATGCCAACCCAGACAAGACAGACAGGGTCCCCACCCTGGTGAAGCCCACAGTCAAAGTGAGGACAACAAACAGAACACAATGAAGCAAAATGACAAAGACCATGCGGAGAGGAGAAGCCAGCAAAGGAAATGAAACAGGTGCATGGCTGGGGGACGGGCAGGCTCCTTGGCTAGGGGCTGGCCACTGGGCTGTGGCCTGAGTATGCTGCGAGAGGCACTCTGCGTTTCTCTTTTCTACACTGTCTATTCCAAGAAATTTAAATGACCCACAAAACTAACACGCAAACAAGCCACGACCTGCAGTGTGAAGACACTGCTCCAGGCAGAAAAGACAGCAGCAAGAGATGGCAATAGCGTGTACAGGGTCATGTGGGGTCAAGCATGCCACGGAAGCAGGCAGAGGGGGCAGAGGCCAGACCTCCGGGCCTTTGCACCAGTGTCGCGAGCTTGGACTCTCTCATGTGTGACAGGCACAATGGGTTTCTATCAGGGCCGTGAGCTACGGTGTAAATCACTTCTTGGGCATCTGTGTAAAAGATGGAGTTGAGAATTTGGTGTACAGTCAGCCCAGGCTTGCAAAGTCTGGACTTGGTAACCCGTCCTCTAACACGGCCCATGGTCTCACTCCACTGGTGCTCACAGCATTCACAATGCTGCAGTCAAGACACAGACACACACACATACACAAGTGTTCGTGTGCAAAGGAAAGGTCAAAGTTCGAGGTAAGGTGGAGCTCGAGGCAGGCTCCCAGGAGGAAGTCACATTTGGGCTTTGGGCGTAGCTTGAAAGAATAGGTTTGATTTCAAAGGTTGAACTGGGGCGGAGGAAAGACACCCTGCACAGCGAGAAGTCTGATGCAGAAGCAAAAGAAAATCCAATCAGCAAACCAGACAGCAACTGACACCCTCGAGGACTCCGAGGAGGACACCGAGGAGGACACCAAAGGGGCCCAGCACACGCCCCTGAAGCGAATGAGTGAAAAACAAAAGACCAGACGAATCGTATGAGAAAGCCGACATCAGAAGGTGCACTGAAATAATCACGAAGACAGCATTTTTCAACCAGGCGTGACTCCGTCCCCCAGAGAACAACTGGCAATGTCTGGATACATTTTGGTTGTCGCCTCTAAGCTGGGTGGGGGCGCAGGCACGGGGACATGTCACCCAGTGATGGTCAATGTCCTTCAAAGCACAGGTCAGCCCCACACAACAAAGAACTATAGGGCCCAACATGACCATGAGGCCAAAGTGGAGAAACCCTGATCCAAATTTTGCTCACAAGACAAATGCTGGGTCCGTAAACGGGACAGAGAAGGCGCTGCAGCTGGGGCAGCATGGCAAGGGCTGCTGCCATGCTGCACACGAGGCCCGGTGAACTAAGTCCGTGGGAGTGGAAATGGCGAGGAGGAGAAAGACGGCAAGAGAGGCCGCTGGAGCTGCGAGGGGCCTGGGACGGAAGGAAGAACAGGACTGTGGTGCCGCATAAGAAGCCCACTAGTTACCGTGCCGGATAGGAGAGAGCGACGACAAGCCCTCCGCTGGTGTTACTGGGCCCCAGCACTGTGGCTTTCAGAAGGGGCGATCCTCACAGTAACCCCCTGTGGGAGGGAGGGCGGCCAGTCCACTTACAGATGAGCGGAGACTTGGTCACACTTACGGCCACCCAGAGAAGACAACTCTTTCCAGCACATACCACTCGAGCTATGGCAGCTTGATAAAGGGACAAACTGCACTTTTCCACCAGAGACAATCACTTCCTAATTAGTTATTTGGTCACTTCCTAATTATAGCTAGCTTTCCACGCATCATAGGAAATTCCCTACAACAGTCACATTTCAGTCTTTAATCTGAGAAGTCTACCTGAGGCCTCCACAATGAACTCAGTGTACCCAACAAACGAAAGCATGTGCCCCTCCCCGGCGATCAGGGAGACGGAGTGACCCGAGACAGCACTTTGGCAACCTGGCTTCGCAAAAATGATGACCGAAACCCAGCACAGACGAAGCTGACAGTGCTTCAGTGGAGTCAGTTCACTTAGCACAACCTCTTGGAAAGAGGAGCTGGCGCGTGCCTGTTCCCATTATAAATGCACATAGACCCCTTGAGCCAGTAACTGCTTCCGCCAAGAATAAACACAATGTATCGCAAGTAAGCAGTACTGCTTAAAACAGGAGGCCCCAGCACTGTTACCAAGAGGCGTGCATCCATGCGGCACAGGGAGCTGCTCAAGCCTTCACCAGAACAGAGAGGTCCTGTATGCCACCTGCAAGGGTGACCTTGATACACCTGTTAGGTTGGCGAAAAAAGTAAGAAGAGACACAGAGGCCCAGAGCTCCCGAGGGGGCAAGTGAAAGGACAACTTTCACTTTCCACTTTATTGATGTCTTCCTGTTTGAAATTTTATATAGGCATGTACTAACTTGTCATCTTGGTTTAACTTCTTTTTTTAATGCTGGGGCACAAAGGGACCCCAGGTGAAAAAATGATGGGCTGGCAAAAGAATTCTTTGACCAAGATAGATTAAGACAGACCGCAGAGACTACTGACTTACGCTCGCGCCTCTGCTTCTCTTTCCCTCATCTGACAATCAAAGTGGGTACATTTCCAACGTTAGACAGAGGCAGGGATGTTCTGGCACCAAGGAGAAGCGTTTCCAAACCAAAACACCCCAGCAGTACCCCAGGGGTACACTCACCTGAGAAAGTGTTGTCTGCAAAACGTAACAGTAAACTGCTCTTGCCCACACCTGCGGGAAATAAAGTAGGAAATGAGAGGGGGCATGGGTGCTCTCCCTCCCACCCAACCCTCACAGAAGATGATACCCAACTCCAAACTGAAGTAGCTCAGAGGACCCCTCTCTCTCTCCAACGCTGGTTTCTTAGCTCCCCAACCAGCCACACACCAAGAGTCTCTTTCCCACTCGATCCCTGACCTTCTTCTCTGTCAGGGTGTAAGACAAGCTACTTCCAAATCCCCTGGGAGAGAGCTGAGACAGGGGCTAGTGCCTGGGGCTGAGGGCCAATCCCAGAGGAAGATACCAGATGACAGAACAAGCAGGTGGAGGTCAACCAAACAGCAGATACCCAAAGGGTGTCTAAAACATGAAGTCTAGAAAACTGCACATTATGTGTGAGCTCATCTGTGTGGTGTGAAAATGAGGAACTGGAGCTGGAAAGTGCTCTGAGATCATCTGAGCAATTTTATAGATGAGAACACCAAGGCCCAGACCTCGAACCAGCATGGTCCCCAGCCGACAGATACACATGGGCAACATCTCCCACGTGCTCAGGCCATTTCACTAAAGGTGAAAGCTTTATGAATCCCAGAAGCTTGGATTCTCTTTATTTCAGCGCACAGTGGCTTCAGCCTACCCGAGTACCTGTCTCGTATTCTGTGCCATCCTCTGCCCTCTCAACCCCAAAAGCCAGCTGGGTCAACTAACCTCAGAAGGTAAAGAACTAGAGCATAGTGTGTGTTGAGCACCTTGACAGACATGCCTACAACCCCAAGTGCATCTCTTAAGATGCAGCCACGGGGCTCCAAGAAGCTCAGTGATTGGCCTAGGGGCCTCCACAGGAAATGGGGAGCTGAGATGTTTGCTCCAGAGATCTGACACTCTTACCACTATATACTGCCTGTGGAATGTCTTGCATCTGTTTCAGGAAGTAAAATAAAAAGACTCAAGGGCCTCTTGCATCTGACTCCTGTTAAATTCCTAATAACAGTGCTATCAAAGCTAGCGGGTGAAGAGATATTAACCCAAGGCCTCAGAAACCCCCCCCAGGGTAATTTCAGATTCTGTGGGGATGAGTGGCGTTCATCAGACACTCATGCCACCCCCATTCCGGTAGTTTCTCTAAAGCTTACTAACTAACCCCAGACATCTTCTCTAGGCGGTCCTCTCTGATGACCTAAGAACTCGTTGCATGGAGTGACTGTCTTACCTTCCCAAGGACAGACTGGGGGTGTGGCTCCAAGCAGCACCCTGCTGCACCCTCATACCTGCCAGTACTCTTGCTCAGAGCCACTTCCTCACTGCTGCCTCTACGGGGCTTCCTGCTGAGCCTAACTCTTGGGCTGGGTCCCTCACCATGCTATACCCAACGCCAACACCCCACAGTCGATGGCTCCTTGCTTCCTCCTGGGACCTTTCTGGGACTGCTTACTCAGCTAAGTTTGTGTCTGGGCCACTAGGCTGTGAGTTCCTGCAGGAAGGAGATCTTGCCTCACTCTGAACACGCACAGATTGTAAGCACTGCACTCAGTAGGCACCAACAAAGCCCGAGTAGTGAATTTGTAGCTTCACACTGGCCAATCTTACTAACGGCTATCTCATACTCTGACTGCAACATCAACACAAGCTAAAGCATTAATTTTGGAATTCGGAGAGGGGCAGCAGAATTCCTTTTATAAATTAAATTTTATCTAAAGCCATTAAGAGGGAGGTGCTTTCTGCATGAAGCAATGAAGCAGCAGCATTTCCTCTGGCCTACCCACTCATTCGCCCAGATTGCCCTGCACAGCTGTCGAAAGACCCCTACAATGACCACATTCCCTGATGCTTTGGGCCTGACACCAGCCGCTGACACTGCACTTCCCCTTAAAAGGAAAAGAAACCCACCTTGACAAGTGCCACCTTCTAACTATCCTTAGAAGCCCCCTCCTTAGGAAAACACTGCTATCATTCACCCCATGTCACCGACCCAAGAGGTGAACTACCTTCAGCACAGCCCATTTCAACAGTGTTCCAGTGGCCATAAAATCCAACCAATCCTGTGCCATCATCTCATCCCCTGCAAGGAGCAGAAGGCCTGTACTCATGCCTCTCAGTAGCCAAAGCCTGTAGGTCACTCTCAGGCATCACTACCCTCCCAGAATCAAGCTCCTCTCTTCCCTAGGCATCTAGGCCTACAAGATGCGCTGGTGTTTAAAAAGCCTCCACAGAGAGTCCCCACCCTCAGCCACTCTTCCCTTCGGCTACAGTTCCCTCCTCTTAGCTTCACTTCAAGACTGAAGACCTTCGACTTTTGAGTCAAGTGTTTTCATTTTAATTCCAGCTCAGCAACTAACTTATCTGTAGTCTCAGATAAGTCACTTCTCTCTGAGCCTCAGTTCACACATCTATGAAAGGCTTGAACTAGATCTTGGATCACTCTGGCCTCCAGGTTCTAGGCATAAGGATGGCTGTCCCAATGGACAGATAAAAGGCTATTACAGAGACCACGTCAGAGGAACATAAGGGCAAGTATAAAACCCTACAAGTATAGAACTCTACAAGCTGCAGAAGTGGAAGGAATGTATTCCAGAAGCATGTACAATGTGGCAGAGTGGGCAGGAGAACTCTAGATTCATGAAGAAAGAAACTAACATTCATTGAGGCCCTACTGTTTGTCAGGCTCCACACCAGCTGCTCACACAGCATCATGTGCATTAATTCACTCCCAGCTTTGCCTCTGACCAGCTGTGCCACTTTAGGCAAGTCAGTCAGCTTCTCTGAGCCTTAGTTGCCTTATTTGACAAACCACACAGTAAGAACAGGTGAGAAGCAGATGACAGAGTATCTGCGAAATCATTTGATAAAGCTTAAGAAGCACCCACATGAGACCCGTTCAGGGACGCTCACGTCAGTCTCCCTGCTCAGTTGCCAAAGCTTAGTTTGCCTCCTATGGCTGCCATCTCCCAGGGTCACAAACCTTGGTTCTGAGGATCAGCTCACTGTCAGGAGAAATCACATTGCAAAGCATCTGTCTCCTTTACACATCAGACTACATTCAGACTAAACCAGAAGCCAGACCACACCTCACTTCTGAGCAAAAAATCAATATACCAGGCAAAAAGGAGAAAGGGGAGAAAGGGGGCCGGCCAACTCTACTCCCCTGATTTACAGAGAAGAGGCAACAAGCTGCACTTTCTTGCTGAGCTTATGCTTTTCATTTTGGGATATCTAAGCGCGGCCCTCCCTAGAAGTCTTACGGAGGGGTGAGCATCCAAGACCATGGTGAGCTGACTTTCACTCCAAACAAAAGATCATCCTGATGCAAGCCCTGAGAACCACGGCCAGAGTTCAGATCCTGTAAAGGCCTAAGGCACAGGAGCTAGCAGAACAGTAGAGACCATCTCTAAGGGCCAGTCTATACACAGCCTGCTGGCTTCCTTGCTTCAAACCGCAACGACTCCATCCTCCACCTTTCTAACTCCTTGCCCAACCACAGCTATTTTTCATCTCCCTAGTTATCCCCTAACTTTCCCCTCACCTTCCATCAATAACCAAGAAAACCTCAGCTATCCTTCCCCAGGTCCAAACCATCAACCACATTCGGATCCAACCCCACCATGCCCCTGAAACCCAGCCACTTCCCTGACCCGGCTCTGACCCTGTCCCCCAGTACTCTGGCATAAGGCCTTTCCACACACTTGCTTTGGTCCCCTCTTTCCTTATGGCCCATACTAACCTCAGATCTGGGCTATAAACCTGGTCTGCTACCAAGCCTGTTTCCCCAACATCACATCACCCCAGGACCTCACCTAATGCTCCCATAAACCTTCTGGGACCTGCCTCCCTGACCTCTTGGTCACCCCATAAACCTGCTTATCTGTCACACTCCAAACACCTCTCAGACCCTCCACCCTTCCCAGAAAGGAACCTATCTTTTCTAAGACACTTCATTCATTCCACAAACACCTGTAAGGCACCTTCTGGATGCCAAGCGCCGCAGGAGGCCCTGGAGATGGAGCAGTGAGCCAGGGAAGGCTCCCAGAGGGTGTTATGGTCATGGGGCTTCTGCAGTGTGGGGGACCCTGCCATCACCCACCCGCGGACAGTGAGAACAAACCCGCCCCCAGCTCTATGCACACAGACTCCGCGCTCGGCCAAGGCGGCCGGCCTGTGCAGCACACCCTATTGTTGGTCCATTGTACAGATGAGGAAACCGAACCGCAGAACCGCGAGGAGACAGACTCATCGCCAGCACACCCAGGGATGTGCCAGGCGCTGTGCCCAAGCGCTCTGCCTTCCAGCATTTAAACCTTGCAGAATCTCCCCATTTTACAGAGGAGGAGCCAGAGGCTTCCAAAGGCCACTGCCAACAGCAAAGCTACAGAGCTCACTAGGGCAGGCGCTAAGAGCGGCTGCAGCTTCATCTCATCATCCTCTCATACCTCCGGAGGCAAGTCCCCAATACTCAGAGGAGGGAACTGAGGCTCGGTAAAGCGAAAGAGCTTGCCAAGGTCACAGGTGAGGAAGCCGGTAGTCCCAGGACTCGAACCCGGGTCTCCCCAACTCCAGAGATCGCGCGACTTGACCAAGGTCACACGTGAGGCAGGGGCAGGCGCCGGGAGTGGACCGGGCGCCTCAGCCCCGAGCCCCGCGCGCCCAGCGCGCGCGGCCCTCGGCTCTGCAGCCCCGCGCCCCGACCTCGCCCTACTGTTTGTCAGGCTCCACACCAGCTGCTCACACAGCATCATGTGCATTAATTCACTCCCAGCCTTGCCTCTGACCAGCTGTGCCACTTTAGGCAAGTCAGTCAGCTTCTCTGAGCCTTAGTTGCCTTATTTGACAAACCACACAGTAAGAACAGGTGA